AAAAAAAAAAAAAAAAGTAAACTTCAAGGCTCTTTTACAAAGAGCTTGTGAGGGATCCGTGGGAGCCCATGAGCCTCGGAGAGGAGACTGCCCTGGGCATCTGAAATTAGATACTTGCCTCGGGAGGTGAATAGATGTGTTGGAGGAGCACTCTGCTCCGTTCCTCTCCTGCACCCTGCTCTGAGTGAAGTCAGTCAGTCTTCGTCCATCATCTCTGTCTCCTTCCAAGATCTCGCTCTCTCTCTCCCCTTCCTGTCTCTCCTCCTCTCTCTCCCCCTTGCCCCCCTCTTCTCTCCCTCTCTTCCCTCTCTTCCCTCTCTCTCTCTGTCTATATATACACATATATAATATATACACATTGATCTCCCTTTTATAAACAGAGCATCTTAGAATGAGAAGACGAATTTAGTTCCCTCTTTCTTGTAGAAAAAAGAAAAAAATTGAGCCTCTACAAATGAAAAGAGACCACAGACAGGAGGGTGGGGGTGGGCGGGAGTGGGGGTGTTCCAATGCCTCAATTTTCTCAGGAGTTGTCCCCCAGGTGCTGAGGCTGTGGCTAGACTCAACCCTATTTACAGTCAACTGCACCCTAAGGATCGCTTGCTACTTCCTTTCCCCTGCATCACCTCCTTGTAGCTGTACAGTCTCTGCTTGGACGCTTAGGGACGGGGTCTCTGATTTCACTGGGAAATTAAAGGAAACGAAGCGGATCCCTCAGGGTTACATTTGTTCCTTGAATAACCACGGAGATCTTGACTCTGAAACTAGAGCTAAGTTCTGTATCAGAAAAGATTGTTGAGGTCCTAGATCTGCCGTTCTGGTTAGTACAGTGTTGCACATGGAACCTGAACTGCCCACTGGTCAGTGTAGCACTTTTTGCTCAACTTTATCATCTGGTTAGTGGACAGGGGTAGCTCAGAAGAGTATCTTTTGGGGAAGGATTTTTTTTAAGGCTTTACTCTTGGTTCTAACAGAGCTCTTCCCTGGCAGTTTGAGAAGTTTGTTCAGCGCGAACTGACCAGGGGGCGCCAAAGCGCCAGGCCTGGGACTGCCCGACTCCTGCAAACACTAACATTTATTTGCCATTTTCAAAGGGTATTTTGCAAGAACCGTGTTTTATATAGATTGTCATCACCGTCATCATGAAATCTCACGACAGCAGATTAAATCTGTGGCAGCGACGTGGAGAGAACTGTGTTTTATTATTTAGTCAGTTTTATTTGACAAAGTTGCAGCAACACCCCCAGAATGTAATTGTTGCAGGAAGGAGTTGGATGGGATAAACCTTAATTTTGTGACATGCTAGTTAATTTTGCCAAACTTTCAATTAATCCGGTGTTTGTGGTTATTAACAGAAACTAGTGTTTAGTGAGAAAGATGTTTTTCCCCAGGCAGGGCATAGCCATCAGAATCAGGGGTGGAGACAATATGCTTCTTTTCACTATGGAAGACTGGTTGACTCGATTATAATTAGTGTTTCCTCGGGTCAGCCTTTTCATCTTAACCAGGTGACCTAATCTACTCATTTCTCTGAACCCACTCCTACTGATGATGGTCACCGTGTCACTTTGTGATGCTGGTCTCCTTGTTTCTCTTCTGCTCAGGCCCTGGCTGGACAAGCTGTCCTAGGGTTTTGCTTAGGCACTGCTGACAGCAGCTCTGACTTTCAGTGTCCCCAGGAGTGTGGCTGTCGGGTTTACTGACCACCACTAGACTTCAGAACTGAAAGGGCCAACTTCCTAGAAGCAAGTGATATTGGGGACCAAGTTTCCAGGACTCAGTGACTCTCAGCTTAAAGCTTCAGGTTTTCCCCTGTGGGGAGGTATGGGTGGGAGCAGAGAACCTCATTTCCTCTCCCTCAGATTGCCTGCTGGGTGAGCTTGGGGATGCATTAGGGCCATCAACTTCTGACATTACTGTGGTCAACAACACTGCACATGACTATTCCCCGCAGATGACGCTATTAAGAGTTCGTCTGTCCACCTGGTTCACAAATGATCACTGAGCACCTCCATGTGCTGGCCGCAGGGTTTCACAGGCTGGCTGGAGAGACAGAGTCACCAGAGACCAGAGAGTGGTGGGAAGTGTGACCATGGTGAAAACAGAGGGGCTTCCTGAGTGTGTTTGTGACCTGGGGGGTGGGGGTAGGGATAGTCAACCTGCCCATATGGTCAGAAAAAGCTTCCAAGAGATGGGGGCAGTTGAGTTGAGTTTTAAACAATGTGGGAGAGTCCAGCTGAGGGAGGCAGGCCAGGGGAACAGTGTGTGCATCTGAGGAGAGCGGCTCTGTGCGCCTGGAGGGGTTGAGGGGGAGGGCTCAGAAGGGATAGCATTGACATTGCACACATGTTTGGGGGAGGGCAGAATTCTGAGATTTGGAAGAAAGGAGAAAGTAACTTGATAAAGTGGATAGAGAAGTTGTTACCTGTGGCACTGGCAATCCATTGTCCAGAGCTGGGGACTTCTCATGGTGCTGTCCTGTGTTTTGGGACGATTTGGAGATGGATGCAAGGCTTCCAGAAAAGGAGCTTGAGCACATTCTGAGCAAAGATGGGCCATCCTGGGATCCAACTCTGTGGATGGGCAGTTTCTGCTCAGTATAGTGATGCTCCTGTCAGGCTTTTTATCTCACAATAGTACTGCCTTCTACATGGGCACCCACACCCTTGTTCACAATGGAGTCACTCATTTATACAAGAGCCACTTCTCTGTCTCCTGATCATTCAAACAGCGGCAACTCCTGCCTCTGTCTCACATCCAACTTTTCTTCAAGGTCAAAACTTTAGAAGCAATAAGAGCTGGGGGACTTCGATTACGACACGCCTGAGTTTATTCTGACCTGTGTTTGCACTTCTCCCCTCACTAGCTTTCTGACATTAAGCAGGTTCTGCCCCTCAGTTCCGGACCTAGCAGGGGTAACTAGTACCTATCTCACGGCACTGATGGAAGGGTGTACTCTTAGGTGTTGCTGGTATAGGGGAAGTTGAAATTTATTCTTTTTTTTACCTATCCATCAGAACACATCTTAAGTTAGAAGCCTTATTCTCAAGGGGGTCTCAGCACACTGCCCACACACCTCCCAGATCTCCCAGATGCCTTGTGTCCTTAGTTCGGATGACAACATGTTTACAATAGATTCTACCTGAGGGTGTGATAGTCAGTCTGCAAACTGACCAATAGTATCATAGGGCCTTTCCCTGCCTAATGGGGACTTAGGAGGGAACAAGACAGATTTGGAGGGGATCTTTTTTATTCTGCTTGTTTGCCCCTGGCACCAATGTCAATCCTGTGCCCTCCCCCAGGGACATCTGCTGTGCCACTTCTCGCTGTTTTTCCAGCCTTGCAGGGTCAGGTGGGAAGAGCAAGACTCCTACCAGCTCTTTTCTCACAGCTAGAAGGGCCCCAGGGTGCTGTTATCTGTCCCTCTCACTGGAGGTGTGGGCGATCCCT